ACGTCAGAAGGTAATGATTATCGCGGGGCTAGGGTCACGTGATGTGCCATCCCGCCAAGATGAGCCATCTGACGGATGGCAGGGCGCCTGGGGAGGACAGCCATCAAAGCCCTTAGCGACATCCTAGGGATGTAAGGGATGTTAGTGATGGCAGGACTAGAGGCAATGGGTATAAGAATAGGTTGGATTTCATTATTACACTCGTTGTGGTCAACTTTAGAATAGTTCATCTCTTACACAGATTGATACTAGTTATTCTACCTTGTAGAATTAATTATTTATTCTTTTGGTTAAATCCTATAACTCTTTTCCACGTAGCACTTCGCAAACAATCTCACGGACTACCGCTTTAGTCTACTCGCCCTAACCCGGACCGAGATCAGAGAAGTATAGTCGACCCCCGTGTAACATATAATTATATTATTATATAGTATAAGTATATTAAGGAATTTTAATCAATCTATACGCACGTAGTATTACTAGGCGTATCAATTAAGTTTTATTGTAGCTAAGAATAAAGTAAGTAGCTATTGCTTTTAATTATACTTAAGATAAGCTACTTACGCTTATTATTAGCGCGCAAAATTTAATAAAAACACTTATAAAAAATCTGTAAATTAATACATAAAAGGCCGCGGCTAGTTGTAACTATTAAATGATATAAGTAATGAGCAATTAGTTCTATTAGGTGTGTTGAATTATAGCTTGGTCCAATGCAATTGACGATCTGATTGATACTCTTTAGTCACATCCTCTTCCGAGTCATCTGTGTATTCCTAAAAATCTTACTAGAAAGGAGGTTCTTTACACATTAAAACTTGAAGCAAGCTTCAGAGCGGAAAGATTTACTGTTCAGAAATTCCTTATCTGTAACACTTAGCTATAAATGCGCCTAATGCCTTTGATAAACAATGTCTTGTGGTACAGAGCAGCTTCTATCATCACAGGCTTTTCGTTCCATAACAGCCATAGCGACGTCAGCACTACTAACCAAAATGAATTATGCCCAGGAAACTAGGTGATAATAACAGCTCTGAGCGAAAGTGAGCAACAAAAATTGCCCTTTGATATCACGATGTATGGAGGATTCCCCCAAATACTCATGCACGCTAGGTGGATAAGGTTCTTTATATTGAAAATTATGTTTGCTATAGCCAAAGAAGTTCATCAAGATGTCCATCATACAAAACAAATAATTGCCTTTATCCACCTCTGCCGATAACATGAAACGTTCACGCTGCAGACAATAAGATATCATGCTGTCATCATCAAGCATATAAGCAGCCACTTTTCAATCCCCGCGATGTCCACCTGGGAAATGTATTAATGTCGAACCTAAAGCTTTAGCCTAGCCTCTACGTGGGCAGTCTAACATAGCTTGTAGCGGTTGAATTATTTTATGAAAAATGTTATTGTATGTGTGGCTAAAAGCACAACGATATTACTACAGTTTCTATAAGGAGTAAGAACTATACTACATATACATCGTTGCGATCACGAATGCCATGAACCACATCTACTCACTGTATTTGTATACTCACTGTGGATGGCTGCACTGTTTACCATGCCGTGCACGTGTCGATGCCTATGTCTTTGGTCATTATTAATGGTTTCCTGTTATTTAATGTAATTTTTTTCTCGTTCAAGATTAGTTCAATGCTAGATATTGACTGAAGTTTAGCTGAACAAGTCCCTACCCTAGTCATGCTGTGCGTTCTATTTGAATATAGACGTGCCTTATTATTATTATTATTATTATTATTCCATTAGAGTCTATCTGCAGTCAGTGACTATGTAAGACTTTGGCCAGAGGCCGTTCTAGGTACAATTTGTTTAAAGTGAGAGTGTTCTCTGTATAGTACTGCTATTGTGCTGCGGTTTAGTCGCTTCTAGCTGCGCTTAAAGCAGACTCCAGTTGCTGAAGAGCAGTTTAGAAACAGGAAGAGATGTTAGACAGCAGGGCTGTCTTCCAGCGAGCTCTTTTAGGGCTAAGGAAAGTAACTTAAGAAAGTTTGT